CGTCTTTGTAAGATGTTCGATAGCAACTCAGTCTTTTTTCTCTCATTCGGTTTTGTAAGGAGGTGGGGAACTTTACACCTGGGGATCAAATGAAAATGGGTGCCTTGGCACAGAGTAAGTTATACCCCGAAAAATTAGAATGTTTACTCATAAGACCTAGACTCATTTTCTTTCTAATTTTATGTCCCTTTTTCAGTTCAACATATGTCTCACACTCCCCTGTGAGAGTTGAAGGTCCTTTCTTGGAATCTACTGTATCTCAGGTATCTTGCGGGTGGAAGCACACTRCAGCTATTTCAGGTAGCATCTCTTTTAAGTAAAACATTTTTCTTCCACTTTCATTGTAGAAATTATGCAACCGAATTCTGAAACTTGTTTGCAGATAACAATGTCTTTACCTGGGGCTGGGGAGGTTCTCAGGGCACATTCTCGGTTGACGGACATTCCTCTGGTGGACAACTGGTTTGTTCCATATCTTTCTTATTATTGATCAAATCTCGAAACAATTCAACGACTTCGTATGCGAATGTGATATAATTTCATTTAGTTTATCCATGACATCAAAGAGCGTAGTAATGATATGGTATGCTAAATATGTAGGGACATGGTAGTGATGTAGACTATGCAAGACCAGTAATGGTGAACTTGGGAGAGAGAGTAAGAGCAGTGCATATATCTTGTGGCTTCAATCATACAGGAGCAGTTCTCGAACATTTCTGAAGACTGCTCCTTAGGCTCAGTCTCATTTCATATAATTCTTTCTTAAACTTCGATACTCGAGTGAGGAGACTATACATCGGAAGTCAACTTTATAGAAGAAGCAGTGAATATTTTCGTGGAGTAAGAAGAAGCAAATCAGCTGCGGTGAAAAGGTTTCCTTCAGGTTTTCCGCTTCTTGATTTCGTTATCGACAAGGAAAAAGTGTTGGATGTGATCGACCGGGTTGATGTGCCAAGAGATTACAAAGCATTGTTGAAAGAAGGTAGCTTAAGCTTCTAATGGAAAGTGGTGTTTTTGTGGTCTCAAGTGAGGTCAATGCACAAAACTGGCTTCTGATTTTTGCATGTTTTGTTGTATATAAGAGCATAAAAGAAGGCTATGGAAGAAGCTGTAGTGTGACATCATGTTGCTAGATCATTTGCAATATTTCAATATAGTCATACATTTGTTACATTGCTTATGATGGTTCTAAATGAGATGATCTCAAAACTTAGCACCACTTTCTGAAAGATTTAGACTGAGATCAAGATAACACATTGCGATTGGAATCTGCAAGACTTAACCTTTTATTACAACAAGTCAAGGAAGCAAAAGAACCAAAAATTTAACAGTGAATGAATATGTTCAGCATCATCTCACAGCTCTCACTCACAATGATGGGAATCGCAATGCATCAGCAGCATCGCCTAAAGTATTGGCTTTTTTTCGTTATTGTCAAAAAAAAAAACAGTAGAGAAGTATTAAGCATATGAAAGAGATGGAATTAATCACTTAAGCTGCTGACTCCTTAGAGATCTTCTCTGCCTTTGTAACCACTTCGTCGATGCCACCAACCATGTAAAATGATTGTTCAGGAAGATCATCGTACTTACCATCGAGCAAACCCTGCAACAATTTCCAATACATATAAGCTCAGGTATATCAAACAATCATGGAGGAGGGAACAAGTCATATAGGCTATCGTATTAATGCATATGGGATATACCTGGAAACTGTTGATGTTCTCTTTAAGGTCGACGTATTTTCCAGGGGCACCCGTGAAGATTTCGGCAACATGGAATGGCTGACTCAAGAATCTCTGGATCTTACGGGCACGGGCAACAGTAAGCTTGTCATCTTCACTTAGCTCATCCATACCCAGAATGGCGATAATATCTTGCAAATTCTTGTAGTTCTGTAGCACTTTCTGCACACCACGAGCTGTGTTGTAGTGGTCCTCACCCAGAATGTGAGGYGACAGCATACGGGATGTCGAATCCAGGGGATCCACAGCAGGATAGATACCAAGCTCAGAAATCTTCACATGGGAAAGAGAAAAGTATAAAGATATCAGCATTATGAGTATTGTTACACATAATATTTCGAAAAAGAAGCATCAGAAGGAGACGAGTTCGCACCTGTCTTGACAGCACAGTTGTGGCGTCCAAGTGAGCAAAAGTTGTSGCAGGAGCAGGATCTGTCAAATCATCAGCAGGGACRTAGATGGCTTGGACTGAGGTRATAGAWCCTTTCTTGGTGGTTGTGATTCGCTCTTGAAGAGCACCAAGATCAGAAGCCAGAGTTGGCTGGTAACCCACAGCAGATGGGATACGACCAAGCAAAGCAGACACTTCGGAGTTGGCCTATACAAGAGAGCATACTGAGTTTCAATTTACAATCTCATCATGCATATAGGGCACACAGGTGCTGAGGTATAGACCGAAACACGACTCACCTGGGTGAAACGGAAAATGTTGTCAATGAAAAGCAAGACATCTTGGCCTTCGGCATCACGGAAATACTCAGCAACAGTCAAACCAGTAAGACCAACACGGGCACGGGCACCCGGGGGCTCATTCATTTGTCCATACACAAGAGCACATTTGCTCTCAAGCTGTACGGGAAAACAGAAAGAAATTGAATACCAAAGATTGATCAAATGCCATTTGCAGGAAAAAGAAAGATGAAGATTAATCAAAATTAATTGAAAACCTGCTTCTCCCCTAGCTTGATGACACCACTCTCAATCATTTCTCTGTACAAGTCATTGCCTTCACGGGTTCGTTCTCCCACACCAGCAAACACAGAGAAACCACCTGTTCATCAGGAAAAATACCAGTTAACAAACTGAAACAGAGACGATCAGAAATAATCCTAAGTGTTAAACAGACCATGAGCTTTTGCAACATTGTTGATCAGCTCCATAATGAGCACAGTTTTCCCGACACCAGCACCGCCGAAGAGCCCAATCTTTCCTCCTCTTTGGTATGGAGCAAGGAGATCAACAACCTGGTAATAAAACAACATATGTAAGCTTGGAACATGACAGACAACAATGTGACCTGTGGGAACAGTGCGGAGCTGGGGTCCAAGAATCTACCTTAATACCAGTGGCCAGGATCTCTTGCCCAGTAGCTAGATCAACCAAAGCTGGAGCTTCTCTGTGGATTGGTAAGTAATGCTCGGTCTCTGTGCAAGAGCAAGAACACAATGTCATGACAGGTTTGCAGAAAATGAGACATTGATTAAGAGAGGCTTAGATTTCTTACTGATATCGCCTCTCTCGTCAATGGGTTCTCCAAGAACATTCATGATACGTCCAAGGGTAGCTCTTCCAACAGGGACCTTAAAAGTGAGAACAAGCCAAAAGTCATATATTTGTTATCACAACTTTAGCCAGATTACTAAATAAGGGCATCATCAAATAAAGAATTAGTCATCCACATTCATCAAAATCATACGGATACGGAGTTCCTTGAAAATGAAAACTAAAGGGAAGCATCAATGAATCGATTAATCATTCAAATTCATCGAAATGAACACGAAAAGCCTTGAAAATGAATAGACTTTTGAAGAAAAAAGTGGTTTTTTGGGGGGGGGAAAAGTCAACTTTGAGGATAAGGAATCACGAAATGAAGCAAAATACCATCAACGAATTCACAGATCTAGACCTGATAATGGCAACGCAAAACCTATATTGACTCCCTAATCCCGGATCATCGATCCAAATGGAAGGATCTATACACAGAAAGTACTTACAGTGATTGGAGCGCCGGTRTTGAGAACGCGTCGACCACGGACAAGACCCTCAGTACCATCCATAGCAATGGTCCTGACAACATTCTGACCCAAGTGATGAGACACCTCAAGCACCAATCTTGTTGGGTGATCCTGGACCTCAAGAGCTGTCATGATCGGAGGCAATCCTTCCTGATCTTCGAATCTAACATCAACAATGGCACCAATAACTTGGCAAACCTTCCCGATCGCGCCCTTTCCACCATAATCGTAGGTCTTCTTCCCCTCATCCTTAGCCGGAGCAGACGATGGCGCAGCAGAGCTTGCCGGTGAAGAGGTGGAATACTCGGCGACTCGGCCGAGGAGATCTCCAA